TCTTTGAGCTGGGCTTGCATTCGCTCGATTTCTGGATCTCGATCCTGCGTCAACATGCGGCGTTCTTTATGCGAGATCAAGTCACGATGTTGGGAGGTCGGCCGAGCTGCCCTTGAGCTGCTCGGGTGCTCAGTAGGTTCCCGGATGGTGAGGTTGGCTAATCTTCCGGTCGTCTCTACTCGCGCCTGCCGTTCGGGGGTTGGCGACGAGCTCCTTCGAGTCTGGGGCGAGTCGTGAGCGGACCTTGGATTCAGCTGATCCAATTATGCTCGGTAGTTTGCCTGAGCCATTGTGAGAAGTTCCAACCTCAAGTTGGTGTTGCGGGCTTGTTCTTCCTGTCGATCGAATCGTTGCATGATGACCTCCATCATAGCTGTCATTGGATCCTGAGATTGTTGAGTGAGTACGACTTCTTGTCTGGCGGGTTCAGTGTTAATGACGGCTTGGACTTCTTGGTCAGTAATGTTTTCGACGACCACAGACGTTGTCTAAAGGTCGTGATCCCTTGTATCCAGCTCCTGATTGGTCGTGCTGTGTTCGGGCTGGTTGTCCTCTATTTCCAAATTGAAATCGTGCGTTGGAGAATTTCAAGCTCCCTGTATAGGCCACCAATTGTTGATACGCGAGTTCGACAATACATTCATTAAACAGTAAAGGGGCTCAGAAATCCTCGTTTATTGATATTATGCTCGGAAACGGATTACAAGCAGCATAAACAGAATAAAGAATGTAAAGGATGCTGAGCTCGGAAGCTAGTAGACTGACGAACCTTGTGTAAACGAACTGACTGAATAACGAGCTCGTGGGGTCGGGAACTGAGTAGTAAGCGAATATCCTGAGGTCGGGGCTAATTGACATGTATTATGAGGTCGGACCTGGGTGAGAGGTATTCTGGGATTGATGATGAGCGCGTATATAAAAATCACTTTATCTAATGAATTCTTGTACGATTCCAGCGGAATGTACGAACATAATTCTTTCTCTCTTAGATTAGTTAGAGTCCAGAAAACAGTTAGTTCTCTTGTCCTTTGTACTACTCCAAAAGAGGAAAAGTGATGGGACAACTCAATGAGAGGAGTCCCCTATTAATACTAGAATGAGGAAGTACATTTATATAGGGTTTTCTTGGAATGTGAGATGGGCCTTTAATTCTGCCGGGCCGAGCTCGGCGAGATGAACTTTATAATTTGTCAATTATAAAGCCCATGCCCAACACCTAATGAAGATATTGTATTCGACTACAGCATTAAAACCATCAAGCTTATAAGTCTCGGCCTGTGCATAGCCTCTAGCAAACCTGAACGCACCGGTGCCTCCGATGATCGGTAGCTCTCTCACATCCGACAGTATTGGATTCCATCCATACATAGCGACGGTGCTGGCTTTAAATTCCCCTTCGTGAATGCCAAGTTAAAGACCATTGTGAAGCTTAAGGTGTTCATGTCCGTCGATGCATACATCCCCTGTGCTCTCCCCACTTCCTTCGAGCTCGGGTCAGGTCCCTTAGTCAAAAGGTTATCGGCGATCACAACCACGCCAAATGAGGAGTTTGTGACGGGTGGGTTGGTGACTCTGATGGCCGTTGGTTTGTCACCGGAGATGACGTCATGAAAGTAAAAGTTGAGGTGGGTGAAATTCTCCGAGTCATGTAACAGTTTTCTTTTGGAGTAAGTTTCGGATTCTGAAATGGTGACCGCAAAAAGAAGAACATCTGAGAAAAAAAAAAAGAAGAAGCAGAAAACGTTTAGTCATTTTTGTTGTTTGTAAGCTACAAAAGTAAAAAAAATAATATTTTAGATTTCTATCATATTTGTATATAATGTGATCTATTTATACACAAAATGTATTGGTTTATATAATATTTGCATTTATCGTTTCCATATTGGTGACAACAACATGTCCGTTGAAAGAGGAAGTAAGCGAGGGATTTATAAACAACTTGATTAACAGGGGAATATCTAGATTAGAGGGACCAGGTGCATATGCCCCCACGGCCATAAGTTAAAATATGTTACCAAACCTATAAGAAATCGATGGCTATGAGCCTATGACCCCTTTAAAAAAAAAAAAATCGAAGGTAAAATCGTATTCAAATCATGTGGCTTGACCACTTTGTCGATCACTCGAGCATCATACGGGTTAGTCTAATTTTCTCATGTTGGATAACAATGGGCCTCTGAATCCAATTGGAAAAAGAAAACAGTCATTTTAGAAAGAAACAAAAAAAAGATAAAAGAAAACTGTAGTGTAACAAAAATTTAATTAAAAAAACTACCAAATACTGTACAAATCAGTCGACTGATAGACAAGTTGGTCAAGACTCGAGTGGAAAATGTAGTAGGTGAATACTACAATTTCAACGATGCGTAGGTGAGTACTAAAAATTCCAACGATGTATGTAATACTCATTTTGCGGACGTTTAAGTAAAAGTGAAAGCAAGTGCGTTGAGTGGAAATGTAGTAGGTGAGTACTACAATTTCAACGATGCTTCATATTCGTATTATAACATGAGCTTCTTTTTTCTTGTTTCAAGGTTATATAACATGAGCTTGTCTTTGTTATATATGGAATTGAGGGAGAGTCGACAATTTACTTTAATTAATAATGGCTACAAAGACATCACATTTAGTTGCTTTTCTTCTCTCTTTGCTTCTTCTGCTCTTACTGATCATCTTTCAAGTTGGAGTCGCCGAGGCTGCCAAACGGAACCAACGTTAGTATATATTCATCATTCAATCTCTTGCGTTGCTATATATCTAGGGTTTTTTGAAACAAGGATCATACATATTATATTAATCAATTTCTTTAATCTCTCAATTTTTACGGTTGATATGTTTTTTCCTAATGGAAATCTTTGTGGATCATATGGTTGTATCATGTTAAATTAGCAGGTCAAGAGGAACGCTTTGATTCCCCTAGCCCTCCCACCGCCCCTATTTATCTGCCACCTTCTAAAACTCGCAGAGGAAAAGGTCCATAAGTCATACGTGTTTTGAGTTGAGATGTTATGGAGCATAATGGTCAAGATTACTATTGTTATGATCTTATATTAGTTTAAACTTTTAAAATCATGTTAGAGTTTTAGATGATGTAACAGTATTTGGTTATAAATACGACTATGTTGTAGTACGCCATATATAATACAAAATGTTGTGATAAAAGTTTTAAATCTCAAATACTAAGCCCAAGTGCAAGCAACGAGCAGTAATTAGGG